AGGAGGGAGGACGGCGACGCCGACGACGACAACGACTTCGGCGACGAAATAGGAGGGACGACGACGAGACGCCGACGACGGACGACGACGACGACGAGGGAGGAGGAAGGACGACCACGGCGACAACGACGACGGAAACGACGACGATGCCAAATATGGTTACGACGACGAGGAAGGACAGAGGACGACGACGGCGACGACGACGACGACGACGACGAGGGAGGAGGGAGGACGGCGGCGACGACGACGGCGACGACGATGCAAGAGCGCGCGCGCTGCATTTTGTTGAACATCCATGTTGCGAAACCCTGGGTTTTTGTATGTTTTTGGGGCACTCGATTTTGAAATCTTTCCGAAACCGAAGGTTTCTGAAGGATTTCGGCATGCGCGCGTGACCACGCGCGCGCGTGCACTCCGTCCTTCTTGTTGCAGAGGATTCTCGCGACGTCACGCGCGCAAGGACGCTCGAACGATGTTGGCATGCGCGCGCGAAGCCCGTTTGGTAGCATTTTTTGAAAAGCATGAGAAACTATGGTTTTCTGAAGATTCCTCAAGAGCGCGCGTGTAAGCGTTTCCCGAAATCCGTGTTGCGAAACCCTGTGTTTGTTTTCTGTTTTGGGGGAGCTCGATTTTGAAATTCTTCCGAAAGCGAAGGTTCCTCATAGATTTCGACATGCGCGCGCGACGACGCGCGCGTGTGCACTTCGTCCCGTTTGTTGTAAGAGGTTCTTGACAACTTGTTGTTTTTGATAAACGAGCGTGCGCGCATACAACTTTTTGCAGAGGTTGGCGGGGGGGAGTGATACTGGTTTGGCTGGGATAGTATAAATTCATATTTCGGATGGGCGATGGGGCAGAATCCTATGTACATTACAAAACGAAAAAGGTGTATCGTTAATTCCGGGTGGGGGGTAGAGTCTATTCTTGTTTGAAGAAAGAGAATATTTGTGGTGCCATCTATGTGTGTACCATCTATGTGGTAACATCTGTGTTGTGCCACGTTCGTGGCGCAATCTACGACGTGCAATCCACTCTGCTGAACTTGAAGTCGTTATCTCCACTGCCCGCGCAAACAAACCACCCACACCCCCGCAACTTGGTTTGCAAAATTTCTTAAGACCGACTACGACGACACCGACGACAACGACGACGACGACACCGACGACGTCTCCGACGACTTCGGCGACGACAGCGACGCCGACGACGACGAAGACGACGACGACGACGCCAACGAAGACGACGACGAAGGAGGAGGAAGGACGACGACGGCGACAGCGACGACAACGACGACAACGACGACGGAGGAGGGGGGACGGCGACGACGCGAACGACGAAGAAGGAGGAAGGACGGCGACGCCGACGACGACAACGACGAGGGAGGAGGGAAGACAACGACGACAACGACGACGACGACGACGGCGACGAAATAGGAGGGACGACGACGAGACGACGACGACGACGACGACGACGACGACGAGGGACGAGAGGAAGGACGACCACGGCGACAACGACGACGGAAACGACCACGACGCCAAAGAGGACGACGACGACGAACACGAGGAAAGACAGAGAACGACGTAGGCGACGACGACGACGACGACGACGCGGGAGGAGGGAGGACGGCGACGACGACGACGACGACGACGACGCAAGAGCGCGCGCGCACGCTTTTGTTGAAAATCCTTGTTGCGAAACCTTGGGTTTTTGTAGGTTTTTTGGACACACGATTTTGAAGTCCTTCCGAAAATCATGGTTTTTGAAGGTTTTCGGCATACGCCCGCGACTACGCGCGCGTGCGCACTTCGTCTCGTCTTGAAAAACCTATGGTTTTCATAAGATTTCGCAAGAGTTCGCGCGGAAGTTTTTTTAGCAAATCAGTGTTGCGAAACCCTTTGTTGTTGTATGTGTTTTGGAAACTCGATTGCGAAATCCTTCCAGCACCGAAGGTTTTTGAAGGATTTCGGCATACGCGCGCGACGACGCGCGCGTGCGCACTTCGTCCCATTTGTTGCAAAGGCTTCGTGAAAAAATGCTATGCTAGAGCAAAAAAAGGAACCGCATAGTGTTTTTTACAAGGGAACCTCAGGGGGGGATACCGGCCGGCCTGGGATAGTGTAAATTCATATTTCGGATGGACATGTGGTCAGAATCATATATGATTTACATACCCGAAAGGGGTACCGATAACGCTGGGGGGGGGTAGATCCTATTCTGTTTTTAGGAACGATAATTAATTTCTGTTCGCAGTGAGTTGTCCATTCCACTGCTCGCGCAAAGATCCCGCCCAGCCAACCAAACCTCTTAAGACCGTGACAATGGGTACGAAATTGCGTTTGGCAGCGACACTGCCGCCGACGACGACAGCGACAACGACGACGACGCCGCCGACGTCTCCAACGACTCCGACGACGCCGATAACGACGACGACGACGACACCGACGACGACGACGACGCCGACGCCGACGACAACGACGGTGACAACGACGACGACGCCGACGCCGACGACGACGACGACGCCGACGACGACGACGACGACGACGACGACGGCGACGACGTCGCCAACGCAGACGACGACGACGACGAGGGAGGAGGGAGGACGACGACGGCGGCAACGACGACAACGACGAGGGAGGAGGGAGGATGGCGACGACGCGAACGACGAAAGAGGGAGGACGGCGACGCCGGCGACGACAACGATGAGGGAGGAGGGAAGACGACGATGACGACGACGACCACGACGACGGCGACGAATTAGGAGGGACAAAGACGAAACGCAGACGAAGACGACGAGGGAGGAAGGACGACCACGGCGACGACGACGACGGAAACGACGATGACGCCAAGACGACGACGACGACGAGGAAAGACAGAGGACGACGACGGCGACGACGACGACGACGACGACGACGAGGGAGGAGGGAGGACGGCGACGACGACGACGACGAAAGAGCGCGCGCACGCTTTTGTTGAAATGCCGTGTTGCGAACCATGTGTGTTTTGTATGTTTTTGGACACTCGATTTTGAAATCTTTCCGAAATCGAAGGTTTTTGAAGGATTTCGGCATGCGCGCGCGACGGCGCGCGCGTGCGCACTTCGTTTTATTTTTTGCGCAGAGGATTCTCGCGACGGCACGCACCCGCAACTTGGCCGCAAGACCTCTTAAGACCGTGACGGTGGGTACCAAATGGCACTCGACAACGACACCGACGCCGACGACGACAGCGACAACGTTGACGACGACGACGACGCCGCCGCTGACAACGACTACGGCGACACCGACGACGTCTCCAACGACTTCGACGACGACGACAACGAAGACGACGACAACACCGACGACGACGACGCCGACGCTGGCGACGACGACGACGATTGACAACGCCGACGACGACGACGACGCATGACAGGAGTTTCGCGAGTGCACCGCGCGGTGACATGAAATCGATGCATTGGGCAGAATTCATAAGAATATCATTGTTGTTGGTTGATTTTAGCTTGAGCGCGCGGGCAGGAAATTTGAATTTTTGTTTTGTTTGCAAAACCGTGTTTTTTTATATTGGTTGTTACGCTGAAATGCTGGCAAACACATTGTGTTTGGTACGATTCTGACATGGGCGCGCGTGATGTGGTATTTCTTGCAAGGGATTATTGGAACTTGCTTATTTAAGATGAAGAAGTGCGCGCGCATTGTATGATTTGACACGGATGGCGGGGGGGGGCGATACCGGCCTGGTTGGGATAGTATGAACTCATACTTAGGATGGGCGAGTGTGCATTTTCGTCGTCCGTCGTCGGCGTCTCGTCGTCGTTATTTTCCGGGGGGGGGGGGTAGATTCCTTTTGCAGAAATGAGTTCATGTGCAGGAGCCTGTGTGGCGGCGACGAGGCGGCGACGGAGCGGTGACGGCGACAACATAGCCGCCAGACCGCCGCGCTGGCCGAGAGGACGGGCGGCGACGAGGCGGCGACAGGGTGGCGACGGCGACAACACAGCCGCCAAACCGCCACACCAGCCCAGCTCCCCAGAGCAGAAGCGAGGACTCCTAAGTGCAAGTATTGTTTGAGGGATAAGACGAAAAATAAGAGTAAGGCGAACACTACATATTTCAATGAGAAGAATGCATGCCAACGAGAAGAATCGTAATAACAAGCATCATACACTTCGGAGCTCCGCACGGATTTCTCGGACCACCATGATCATGATGCGTTCCATGATTTTTCAGGTTTCTGGGATTTCCTAGATTTCCTAGTATTCCGCAGCTGCTGCAGAAACGAAGGCCGCTAGATGCTTCAGAATTCCTGGAACGTATCCTGAGCCGATTGCATCATAGCATCTTCTCGTACTGATGGGCCCCCCTGGCGGCGCCGCTCCTGGCGCGCTTCGCGCGCCGGTGGAGGGGGGCCCCAGCGCCGATCACGGCAACCCGCGCTGAGCTCCGAACCTCGATGTGATTTGCTGGTCTGTCTCATCAGCCTGCCTTCGGCACTTCCCGAAGTGCTTCGCGCTCTGAGGGCGCTCCGGCCGTCCGCGGCCCTCTCCCGCCCGTCCCTCCTTCCTCGCCGCCTTCGTGCCCAGTTCGCTCCGCGGCTACCCTGCCGCAGCCACGCCTGCAGCTTCATCCAGGGCGCTGCCGATGAACACCGTGTTTGTGCCGATGTGTCTTATCTTGATGCCGCAGGGGGTCTCCGCACAGCGCCGTGGCCCCTTTCTTCTCCTTCTCCTCTCGTTCGCATTCCCACCTCAGGTGGTGCTGGGTTTTTGGGCCGCCAGGGGTTTCCACGCAACACCACTTGCCGCTTTCGCTTGCCAGGGCACTACCGTTCTTCCGCTCCCCCCCTCTTTCATCTTGCTGTTCACGCACAGGAGGGGCTCCTGTGCACCACTTCCGTTGCGTTCGGGTCGACGCCGACGAAGCGAGCGAACCTTCAGGCGATCTCGCTGCGCAGCATAAAAGACTTGCCCCACCTTGAGGCAGAGGGTGGAGTACTTCTCCAGGACGCACATGCGCTGGGTGCCCGGGGTGGTGGGCGTGTCGATCCACCGCGGCAGGGGCCGCACTACCGCGCCGTCCGTCCGCTACGCGGTGGAGCTAAGCCGGGGCCAGAAGCGACAGCGCGTCACGCTGGACCAGCTCCGGCCCCCGCTGCGCGAGGACAGCATCGTCCCAGACAGCCGGCGTCTCGAGAGAAAAAATGAGACGGCGTGCTTTTTCATGGTTTTCGGTTTCTCGGGGCCCTTCTACGGACCTCGGGGCCGTCAAAGGCAGCTCGGGATGGAGCACCTGCCCCGGGGAAGTGGTCGAGAGGTCGGGGACCCGTGTTTCGAACGAATCGAGACGCCGAACGTTTGGGGTGCAAGCTATCCCCATCCCCATTGGGGCCATGGCATCTCAGCCGCACCAGCTCGCCCTTCGATAGGGATAGGCTCTGCGGAGCCCGAAGGGCCGGGCACAGATCCCCACCCAGGTGGGTGTGAGTCGGCTAGCAGGGCCAAGGCTACGCCAGTGGGGATGGGTATCGTGCGAAATGATGCTCGCAAGGGCGAGCGGGTGGAGGTCTTCTCCCGCAGGTCGTGGGCGGGAAACTTATCCACATGAACGGCCTTGCGGGCCGGGCAGCGGGGCCGCGACCCCATGAATACGGGGCGCTTTCTCGCGGTCGCCCCGCGCGGAACGCATCCATGCGGTTGCGCATCCACGGGACAGCGCCCCAGATGTCAGGCCGCGAGGGCGGGGACATGGATACGTTCGCACCCTCCGGGGAGGTTTAATTCAGCATCGGCGCTGGTATACACGTGGTCGAAAACTGGTTTCAACCAGTATTCCCCACATTCCAGTTCGATCCCGTTGCGTAGATGTTTAGTCCGTAATCGCTCGCCCTTAGGAAGATTTGACCCAGACCTGGGATGCCATTTTTTTTTTGGTCTCAATGCGGGGTCCGTGGAAGTCCCGACCGCTCCTTCCCCGGGGCTGGTGTTTCAACCCGAGTTTTTGTTTTTTGTTGACGGCCCCCCGCCCTGACCCATGGCCCCCGGAGGCCGACAACAAGTCCGATGTTCTCCCGTCATGATTTTGCTTTACAGTCGGGGCGCTGAGGAAGGAACCCTTTGCGTTAGGGGAGGGGCTCCGTGCTCCTTAACTGGTTCACAGTTTGCCTTCGGTTTCCCTCTGGAATCCGATGGTGAATCGAAGTTTGACCTAAGGACGAAAGGGGCCCCGTTCCTTGTGGTTCCTTCGGTCAACGTCCCGACCGTACGGCGCGAGCACGTCTGGGGAGGTTCGGCCCCCATCGCAGGCAGGGCGCCTTCCTCGCGGCCACCATCGGCGGGGCGCACGCCAGCACGGCCACCCTCGGCTACAAGGCTCAGAAAGAGAAGCATCGGGTGGGGAGGATGGGGCTCGGGAGAGATGAGCAGGGTCATCCGTGTTATCCCGTATGGCTTTGGGATGGCGCACGCGGTCCTGTAGCGAGATCATCCGCATTGATTCGCAGAGGTTTCTGGAGATTGATGGGTTGAAACATTTGTCGTGCCCTGTATCTTCCCAACCCCTTCCTCCCAACATCTGTCGGGTGGAAGCACATGCCAAGAAACACTCTGCTTGCCTCCAGCTCCGCCAGAATTTTCGATACACTATACCTAAAATCTCAAGGGCTTGGGCGGGCCCGAGATCCGACGCGCTCTCTAAGCTGCCCCCCTCTTGACTGCCTGGCCCATGTCATGCGTCGCATGTTCTTGCAACGCCAAGATCGTGCTGGCCATGGCGCCTGGGGATGCCACGGGACTTCGAGCGGTCATCGAGCAGGGTTGCGGGAGAGGGTGTCGCAGGCCCTCCTGGGTTTGCTATCGGTATACAAAATACCCCTCCTGGGGGGTGGTTTTTGTATACCAAAACTGTTCCCAGGGGGGTGCGACCTGACCCTGTCGGGGTGCCCGCGCCAGCCCCGTCCGGCCGCCGTATGGAAGCGTTCCAAGAAATTCGAACGACGTGGGCGTTTTCGCACTGCAGAGTTGGCAGTTTACTGGTGGTCATTCCTGGTCGGGCTCCGCAGAGTCGCTCCCTCTGGAAACCTTCGGGGAATTTTCTTGGAACGGTACTAGTATACAAAAGATCTGGGGTATCCAGGGTGCCCCGGGTTTCTTTGGTTTCGATGGTTTCGCTATCAAGCGTGACGTCCCCACGCCAAAAATCAGTGAACTTCCTGGGGTCTCAGGGTTGGGCTTCTTGTGGAAAGCTTATTGATATCGAGCTCCTGTTATATTTGTAATAGGTGCCCCGGGCGGGCACGGCCTTGTCCGTGCCCGCCAGGGGACGAGGTTGTGAGAGATGATCAGATCATCCGTATTATCGCGTATGTTGAAAGTGCTGATTACATAATCGTGCCCTGTATATTCCCAATCCCCTTCTCCCAGCACGATCATTGTATTTCTGGAAGGTGCTCCTGGCGGGCACGGCGTTGCCCGTGCCCGGTGTGCCCGCCTCGCACCTGCGGCGCGTCTTCGTGGCGGGGGACGCCGTCCTGGTGTACCGGGGGCCGGCCGCCGGCTGGGCTTCCGCAGAGGTGTCGGCTGCACGTCGTGGACCCTGACCCTTCGTGGGCCCTGGAAACGACGGGGCCGTTTTTTTACTGGTTCCGTTTTGCAGTTTTCTTGCCAGTGCCGACGCCTGATTTTGCCTTCTTGCCAGTTCTGGCTCCGGTTCCAATCCTGGAGCCGTTTTCCGCCGTTTCCGGTCGTCCTTCTATATATTGCTTCCATTTTCATGAGACGTTTTTTCGAAAACGGTGAAAGAACGGCCCTGCCGTTTCCGGGGCCCACTAAGTCTTGACCCCTCTGCGTCTCGAAAAACAACTACGGACGTTTCTTTCCAAAGATCTTCGGGCTCTGGATATGGAGGCCCCCGCCAGGCCCCGGGGCCGTCAACAGAAGGACTCGGGAGGAAAAACTGGTCTCGGGGAACGGGTCGACAGTTCCTGGGTCGACGTAAGGGAAAGTCATGACATCAGGGGGTGTGGGGAGTGATCCTTCGCTGGGGTGGCCTTTGGTACGCGGATTTCGGGGGTCTCACAGAGGCCATACCCAGGCACCCGGGCCGCTACTCCTGCACCGCGTGCAATCAGCGGTAAGCCGCGGACCAAAGGTCACTCCTGCCAAGAGCCACCCTGGCGTGTAGCCGAGAGGTTGTGGCCGAGCCAGTTGCCGGAGGCAAGCAGGTGCCTGTTCTGGGAATTCAAGCGGTTGTCGTCTTCGCCCCTCCCCCGATTCGGCGCTCGCCATCAGCGGGGAAGGAGACGATCCATATCCGATCCGTGAGCAGAGGGGAAAGAGCCCCGAGCCAGCCCATTGAGTATCCATTGATGACAGGCTTGTGCGCATCAATGTGTGTCCAGAAGGGTGAGGGGTATTTGTTTAGTTAACAAACTTTGGAAAAGGCAAGAGAAGCGTGGGGCAATACAACGGCAAGGCGGGACCTTATCACTGTCTCCAGGCGAGATTTCAAGAAGCGCATATCCAGACATTGACTCGCACACTCTGTTAACAAACTCTTAACGCTTCGCGAGTCCCCACCAGCTCATCAAGAAACGACCCAATGCGAGCTGCCCTGATCAGGTGAGTGTAGCAGCATACGGTTCATGAGTGAACTACGTACGTACGTATACACATATACATATACACATAAATACATATACATATACGCATGCGGACATACAGATATACAGATATTCACTCCGCGGGCTTTCGAATGACAAGGATGATGAAGCGAAGGAGGAAGAGAGAAGCGGGGGGATGAGGCTTCGTTACTTCTTCGAAGCATGACGGTTTTGATGATGCTACGGTTGTTGTTTTTGATGGTGAACATGATTGTGCTGCTGCTCAAATTGGTATTGATTATGATCATGCGGTCGATGGTGATGCTTGTGATGACCATGATGGTGATGATGACGATGTTGATGATGATGATGATTATGATGATGATGCTGATGCTGTTGATGTTGATGATGCTGATGATGATGAAGTTGATTACGATGATTGCACTGCTGCCGGTGGTGATGGTGGTAGAGATGCTGCTGATGATGATTTTGATGATGATGCTGATTATGATGATGATGGTGATGATGAGGAGGATGAGGATGATGATGATGATGATGATGATGATGATGATGATGCTGATGATGATGATGATGATGATGATGATGATGATGATGATTATGAACAGCTTGATGATGCGGATTATGATGATGCTGGTGATGATGAGGAGGAATAAGGGAGCAGGATGAGGAGGGGGAGGATGAGGAAGAGAGAAGCGGTAGGAGGATGAAGAGGAAGAGGCCGAGCAGGTGGTGGAGGGCGAGCAGGATGAGGCAAATGCAGCTATCAGACGTTTCCACTCAACTTGAGATGAATCCCAGTTGTGAGGAAGGGGAGGAGAGGGATGTGAATGGTTAGCGAGGAGAAGGAGGATGGGGGAATGAAGGAGGAGGGGGAGGCGGAGGAGGAGGAGGAGGAGGAAGCGGACGAAGATGAGGATAAGGAGGTGGGATGATGCGGAGAATGACGACGACGAGGAGAAGGAGGAGGGAGGAATCAGGTCTCTCTGGCAACGTCGACGGCGACGACGACGGCAGCGATCATCCATCAAGGTCTTCGCGAGCTTTCCGCTCGGGGAGTCTTTTGGAGGCTTCTTGGGTTTGGGGGGCCATCGTGGGGCCCACTTGGGGTGTGCGCCTTCTGGGCTCTCTTGGGCCTTTTGAGACCCTCTCGCGGAGCCAGGGGCCTTCCTGGGGTCGTCCGGTGAGCCACGGGTAGAAGGGGTCGGTGGGTCACCCCCCCATTCTGTCGGAGCGCTCAATAGCGTCTCTCGGGGCCCTCCCGGGGCTTTTGGGGGGCGCTCTGGTGCGCTATTGAGGCCGTCTTGGTGCCTTCCTCTTTGGCCCTTATTGGGAGCTCTCGTAGACCATCTTGGGGCTATTGCCTTAGAAATCCAGTGGAAGCGAAAAGACGGGAATGCACACATCATTGATTTTCATGTTGTTGTTGAAGGGTTGGTGACCTCTCGGGTGCGTCTTCGGGAGGCCCCGTGACCAGTGAAGCCGTGTTGGAGCGGCCTTGGGTCCTCTTGGAGGCGCGTTGAATGTTCTTGTTTACCAATCTTGGGCTATCTTCTTGTGCGACCTTGAAAACAATCTTGAGCTGCCTGAAGCCGTCTTGGCCCAAACGCCTCCCAAGGATGCCCCCCCCCGCCCCTCGAGATGCCCAAATCTGTCAACCACCTGATGTTGTTCAACGTTTTTGGCCTTGCGCCAACGTGGGGTTCTCTGATTAGAACCTCCTCCCGTCGAAGCTCTCAAAATGGCCCCTTGGGGTCGTATTGGAGTCCTCTTGGGTCTAAGTGGGGGCTGTCTTGGGCCATCCAAACTCCCAAGAGGCCCATGAGAGGCGAAAAGGTAATACGTTCCACATTGAATAGTTTTAGCTTCTCGGAGGCGTCCTTGGAAGGCTCCGTGGTCACCTGAAGCCGTCTTGCATTGATCTTGGGTCCTCAAGGCATGTTGCAGGCTGTCTTGAGCCATTTGGAGCTATATTGTGCGATCTTGGAGGCCATCTTGGTCTATCTGGGGCCATCTTGGGCCATTTTGGATGCTCCGACGCGTCGCGATCCCCCCCCGTCGAAAACCGTGGGGAGGGAGTAGGAGGGGTAGAGATACGCCCTTCTCCGAAGAGGTAGAAAGCGGGTTGGATTGTCGAGCTCGCTAAACCACCGACGCCCTAGAGTGCTGGCGGGGTTCCGTCTCTGGAGCTGAGTCTCAGCAGTATTAGGCTTACCCCAGCTTCCCGAGCACCTGGTCGTGAGCTCGCCCTGGAGTGAGCCTAAGAGGAATCTTTAGCTATATGTGGAGTGCTATGTTGGGTCCGACGCATGCTTGGGGCTGTTTTACTCGCCGTGCGGAGCGCACAGTCTGCCGAGAGCTCGACCCCCCCAATAGCCAGACCCCGACGTCGTGATTTTGTTCACAGCGTGGACTCCCTCCCAGAGGTCCGGGCCCCTTCCCGCGGACCGTTGTTTCATCCCGAGCTGTTTTTTGACTGTCCCAGGACCCGGCGAGGGCCACTAGAGGCCAGGAGTCGAGCAACAAATTGTCCGTCGTCATCTGTCCAAATTGCGAGGAGGTCTGGATAACCAGGCCTCCTCGTGCATCCGCGTCTTCTGCCTCGATGGGGCGCGCAGGCAGTGAGTTTTGCCCCGAGGCAGCCCTGCTGATGCCAGACTTCGTGGGCGGCGGCGGCTGGCTCGAGGCCGGCGTTCAGATCGTGCCCAACCGCAGCGGCAAGATGGGATGCAATTCTTGGGAGGTTCAATTCTGAATCGGCGCTGGTATGTCCTTGGTTGCAGTCTGGCCCAATCTGGCCTCGTACCTTTTAATCTGGCTTATCCTGCTTAATCGGGCTTGTCCAGTTTAATCCCGGGCTCAGTCAGACCTAATCCGGCTCACTGGCCCCTTCATCGGGCCTGCTGGCCTTTAACCGTTCTGACGAAGACCTTCCAGGAGTTACCTCCTAAGGCAAGCGGGTAAACAGCATGGGCAGCATCGGCAGCATGGGCAGCATGCCGCCGAGCATGCGCACCGTCGACAGCGCCGCCGACTCGCCCGACTCGCCCGTGTACGCCCGCAGGAGCAGCGCCGGCAGCATCTGGAAGCTGCCCAGCCGCAGGAAGAGCACCGAGAGCGTCCGCGGGTCGCCCAGCCGCAGGATCGGGCGGGGCTATGCCTCGGGGAACAAACCATGGCATCAACATAATTTTCCCTTCGAGGGTTTCACCCTCCACGGGGGGGAGTGGCAGTCGCGCCCATCGCGGAAACAGCAGTAGTCGGGACGTCGAGGCCCAGCCATCCTTTGCCGACGCCGCCGTCCCGCCAAGCTGGCGCTGTAGCACCTCTCGGCCACTCGGCCCACACGTGCGCGCAGCCTAGCCAACCATGGCATGAGCGTAAACTTTCGGAGGGTCGCGCGGATTTCTCGGATCGGCGCCTGGGCCCCCCTGGCGCCGCCTCCAGCGCCGCCCCTGGCGCACTGCGCGCGCCAGGGAGGGGATTCGGCGCATATCCAAGAAATCGCGGGGACCTACAACAGTTTGTGTTTATGCGGCTGTTTTTGTTCCAATATTTCGGAAATGTAATGTAGCTCTCGCGCGCGCAGTTCGTCTCCCCGCTTCCCTTCGATTTCAGTGTTTGAACGGCGGGCCGCGCGATCCGATTTTCCTGCTGTTGGCCGCGGCCGACTCAGCATTGAGACCGGGGGTCCGAGTGGGGAGACACAATTGAAAGCATAGTTGCACTGCTTTCCCAAGGGGGTGAAGGATCATAATCAACCGTTCCAGGGCGTTCCAGAACACTCTGAGAGCGTCCTGTTGCGCTCTGTAACGTCCGCGGCGCCCGATCTACCCTCCAGAGCCGCTGGATCTCAGAGATCCCTGATGAGTTGTCCCGGTCCGATGTTGTCCCCATCCTGCCCTCGCCTTGCAGGAATCGGGGGCGGCCAAGAGGGGGTGGTTACCCGGGGGGGGGGTATCCTGGCGGGGGCCCTGACACCCATACCAACACCTCAGTTCGCCTCTTCCTCTTCTTCCTCTTCAAGCGGCTTGCGCCATTCCGCTGGCCGCCAGAAGAGGGATGAAGTCCACGGGTGAGGCCTCTTGGAGCCCCCTGCGGACCCCCTGGGAGCCTCGTTTGGGCCCCTTGGGGGCCTCTTCGGGCCTCTTGGGAGTTTCTTGGGCGCCTGCTGGCGGTCTCGGGGGTCCTCTTGGGGCGGAGGGCTCGGAATGTTAGTTCGAGTTGCTTCTCGTGGGCCCCTCTTGGGGCCTTGTTGGGGATCCCTTCGACCATCTTGGGTGCCTCTTGAGCCGTCCTGGGACCCTCTAGGGGGCTTTTGGGGGCCGTCTTGGAGCAGTCACGGGGGCCTCTTGAGCCGTCTTGGGACGCTGTTGAAACCAAATATGCGGTATGTGTCGTCTTCGAGGACTCCCGTGCGTGTTGGAAGCCTGCTTGAGCAAGCGTAGATCGATTCTCATAAGCGTCTTGGAGGCTACAGAGTGTAGAAAAGGATGCTCCAGAGGCCCTGGGGGAGCGTTGATGAGCTCGGAGACCCCCCCCCCACCCCGGGTCTCCCCCCAATCAGTTTTCAGACCCCAGGGGAGTGGGAGAGGGGCAGGGGGACAGCCAATCGTCTCACACGCAGTTGCACCCCTGGCAAGCACGGGTCGGCGGATTTCAATACGTCCCCTCCCCTCGTCTGGGCCGCGCACATGTCTCGGGCCATGATATGCGAACGCCTCTCCTGGGCGTCCCCTTCTTGAGCACCCCCTGAGGAAGAGCACCGACAGCGTCCGCGAGTCGCCCAGCCGCAGGAGCAGCGGCAGCAACGTCCGCGGCTCGCCCAGCCGCAGGGACAGCACCGACAGCGTCCGCGGCTCGCCCAGCCGCCGGAGCAGCGGCAGCAACGTCCGCGGGGGTCCCGCCGCCGCCGGCGGCACCGCGGGCCCGCCGCTGCCGCGCCTGCTGTCGCGCGGTCGTCAGGGGCAACAGTAGGGGGGGGTATATTTGGAGGTATCGTATCGCTGCGCCCCTTCTCGCCCATCGCGCTTCGGCGCCCCCCCACGTGGCGAAGCGACACGCTATCCGCTTACAAGGAGGCATAGCGTGCTTCTGGGGCCGCCGCGGCGACACTTGATAAGCAACAGTTCCCGACCGTATGCTGAGGCGGGGGCAGGCAGGCCCCGCGGAGTTCTCCTTGGCTCAGGGGCAGCCTGAGGGGAGGGGGACAGGCTCAGGGGGAAGTTTCCAGAAGTTTCCGAGTCCCGGGGTGGTCTCCAGCAGCAGCGCCTCGTCGAGAGCGTTCTGGGGGTGGTGGGATCGTCGAGATCAGCAGCCTGAGAGCCGAGTTATGACTCGAAAAACACACGACCAGCATCATTGGTGGGATAGGCTCTGGAGGGGGAGATGCATCGGCCCCTAATCGCCCATTCATCACCGAGAGGACACTGCCAGCCCCATCCAGACCAGGACGGTGCGGATCCGCGATCGGGGGTCCGTCGCCGACCTGTCAGCGATGCATCGCGGACTCCACGTCGCCGCGTCTCACCTTGAGTCGGTCCCCCCTATCGTTGGCTCAAGAACGGAACAACAAACTGCTCAAGTGCGATACAGAAAAATCAAGTGCGTTACACCACTTGCAATACATCAGAGTCAGTGCGATACAAAAACACTCAAGAGCGATACAACCAAAATCTTGAGCCGAGCGTTTGTTATCGGACTTGATTCCAGGCCGGTGCGTCCCCCCCTGAGCCAGCCCGCCCCTACGGTGTGGACGTTCGTCAAGGCATGTGCCCATGAGGCTTCAGACCCTGGAGGATTCCTTGTCTGCTGAGGGCGGCGGTGATGTCCATGGCCAGGCCACGATAGGTGTTCCAGTGGCTTCCAGACCGCGCGCTCCCCATCCACACCAGGGCGCCAGACGTCATGAGTTCTCCATAACAATGACCCCCGAAGGTCTCGACCCATTCTTCGGGACCAGTTTCTCATCCCGAGTCGTTTTTTGACGCTCCCCGACGCCCAGCGAGGGCCCCCGGAGGCCGAATATTGAGACAACCTTCTGTCGCGATTGGTTGTTTTGTTCGAGGCAGTCTGGGAGCGGTTCCTCATCATGCCCTCACCGCATCCTTGCCCCTCAGGCCAGCTGCCCGACCTGCAGCAGGAGCCCCCAATCGATCAAGCGTAACCAGCGAGTTCACACCGAGGGTCGGCAAAGCCCTCGGCGAACCCTCTCCTGTCCCGTGCCACGTACTCTCTCCCTTCCGCGCACATGCAGGAGACATATACGCTGACCCTTGCTCTCCCTGCCCTCCTTGTCCCTCAGGCCGGCTGCCCGACCTGAAGCCGGAGCCCCTGCTGCCCGACGGCGCGGCGGGGCCGAAGGCCGCCGCGGGCGCGGCCCCCGCGCCCTCAGAGGCGGGGGCGGGCGCGCCGCAGAGCCCCGCGCCGGCGCAGCCCGGCGCCGCCGCCGCTGGTGGCGGCGGGGCGCGGGCCGGCGCCCCCGCGGTGCTCCGGGTCACGGTGGCTCACGGCGACGACGACGACGGCGACGACGGCGGCGAGGGCGCCGACGTGTAGGCGAGGAGGAGGAGGAAGAGGAGTAGGACACGGGATGCACCCAGACCCCCTCGAGCCCTGAAGTCATTACGACGGAAGGTTCTTCACAATTTTCGACCTCCGGGAACCCTTGGGAACTGTCGAGACTCGACGTTACAAACAAAATCATGACGTCGGGGGCTTGGGCAGGAAATCGGGGCGCACGTGACGGGGTTCAGCTCAAGCGGGCTCAGCCAGAACGACGCATCTTGCGGGGTCTTGCAGAGCTGGAATTCGGCTCGCCGTGGGGGAGAAAGGGGTCCTGTTCGGTAGCATCTCACGGGAGCATTGTAGATTCTCGAAATTCCGTATTCAGAGTGCACTATAATGGCGTCGAGCGCTGGCACTTGGGACTAATCGATGAGAAATCGCCGATTGAGCGTTGAGATTAGCGTCGATTTAGCATCGACAAGCGCCGATTAGCGTCGGAATGCTTACGAAAACCTATAACTCCCAGATGCGAATCGTGACGTGACCAGGCGGGCGGGGGGCGGGGGGTTCTGGAGGCTTTCGGGTGATTTTCGGCTCCTGGGGCTTCCCAGCGGCCCTCCAATGAGCCCTCCTGGTGGCTCGCCGTGAAGGGGCATCGCAGCGTAAAAAAATCATCCATATAAACTTTCGGAGCTCCGCAAGGTTTTCTAGGATCGGCGCTAGGCCCCCCTTTGCGCCTCTGGAGTCGCCCCTGGCGCGCACCGCGCGCCATGGGAGGTGGGCCCAGCTCTGATCCAAGATATCTGTTCGGACCTCCGAATGTGTGTGCGTGTGTGTTGTGTTGTTTTTTCTCCCTCTACGAAAGAGGGGTCTTGAGGGAAATGGGGTCATGGAGGTGTTGGGTAGTTTTCGGGATCCTGTGGCCCAGTGGCCAGTATAAACGTCTTGGGAGGGGATGGTGGTCCTGGGGGGAGTCACAGTGGCTCGCCTTGAATGAATCCAGGTTTGCCTTCGACGCAAACTTTTGCCTGAGAGCGAGCATCTCTAGGGAAGAACCCCATCTCTTTCTCTGTTTGTTTGTTGTTTATCTCTCTATATATGGATATATACATCTATACATCTATATATATATATATGTGTGTGTGTGTTTGTGTGTATGTACAAGTCTCTTGACATATGTGTATATATGTATAATACGAGAGAGAGAGAGAGAGAGAGAGAGAGACGGACGGACAGAGATTAGATACCAGCCGGCCGCTCTGCGGTTGATTGAGAGTTTCTGTATATAGAAGAAGGCCCGTGCGCTTGTGGGCGAGAGGTGAATGAGCGGGAAGCGGGTTTTGCGATTTTGCGGGGGCCGCGCGCGGGGGACCCGTGGGGCGATTTTTGCGAGGATGTCTCTCGCGAGGACGCCGGATTGGGACAAGCCTGGCGCGCCTGGCGCACCCCCAGAAATGGTCCCCATGGGGGCGCGCCGGGGGCCCGTAGGGATTTTTGCAAGGGTGTCTCCAGCGAGGGCGCCAGATTGGGACACGCCCGGCGAGCTTGGAAATGATCCTTGGGGGGCGATTTTTGCGAGGACGTCTCTATCGAGCTCGCCAGGAGTGGAACACGCCTGGCGCGCCTTTCGCGCCGGGCGCATCCCCAGAACTGTTTCCCTGGGGGCGCGACAGGGGGCCCCATGGCGGCGATTTTTGCGAGAATGTCTCTCGCGAGGGCGCTGGATTGGGACACGCCCGGCTCGGCCGGTTCATCCCAGAAAGGGTCCCTGGGGGCGCGCTGGGGGCCCGTACGCGGGAGAGCTTGTTCCAGCGAGGGCGCCAGATTGGGACACGCCCGGCGCGCACGGTGCATCCCTTTTTTTTTGTGGGCGCGCTGGGAGCTTGTGGGGCGATTTTTGCGAGGATGTCTCGAGCGAGGGCGCCAGAATGGACAACGCGGGGCGCGCCCGGCGCGCCTGGGGGCGCGGGGGATTTTTGCGAGGATGTCAGGCGAGATCTCCAGATTAAGACACGCCCAGTGCGCCTAGCGCATCCCTGGAATGTGCGTTGGTGACTTTCTCGCGCGCCCGGTGTTCAGCACAGGAACTCCTTCAAGTCAACAAGTCATAGCTATATAGACCGACATCATGTTTTCTGCTCTGGAGCTCGGTGGCTCCGGGGGGGGCCGCCATACAACGAATCTAGATGGGAAGTTGGTCCTGGGCCAAGGTGGTGGGCGCCAGGGGGCTCCGCAACGCGGACTGGCTGGGCAAGTCTGACCCGTACTGCGTCTGCGAGGTGACCATGGGGCCCTGAAGAAGCCGTCCCCAGGCATCGGGCGTCTCGAAAAAATCGAGGCGGAGGTTTCATCGCTTTCGGCCTCTCGGGTCCCTCACCGGGCCTCGGGACCGTCAAACAGCGACGCGGGAAGACACACCGGTCCCCGGGAAGTGGTCGAGATGACGGGGCCGCCATGCGCCTCAACATAGTGGAGACGCCCGATGTCTGGGTCTGGTATTGGGCCGTCCGATGATCTCGACACCGCGGAGACCACACTGGGCGGTCTGTAACCGCACAGTCCTGGGGCCTGGGAGGCCAAGGCGCTCGAGACATCGCAGGGTAACCAGCCGGGCGCCTGAACCGTCGGGCCAGCCCGAACCACCTCTGGCTCACCGGACGGCGCGGTCACCAGACCGGTGTGGGAGCTCCGGGAGGTGAGGGGGAAGTTTGGCGGCAAGTGCCGGTTCCAGACGCCGGTCATCGACAACTGCCTGGAGCCCGTCTGGGACCACGTGGGAGAGGTCGCGGACTTCGGTGCGGGCGACTGGCGGGGCGCAGGGTGGGTGGGGCGGAGTTCTGGGCAGGCAGGGGGGCCTCTTGGATCTCGGAAGGGGCCGGAGGCTTTTGAGAAGGCGTCGGAGGTAGAGAGGGCTTCCGAGAGGCCCCCTGCCTCCTCTGCCTTCTCTTGATCGGGAAGGCCATCCCCTACCCTCCTGTTCTGCGTGTGCCGCCGAGGCGACGAGCTTCTGTTCACGGTGATGGACCAGGACCTTGGAGGCTGCGCCGAGCTGCTGGGGAAGGCCGTGCTGACGAGCGCCCAGTTCGACTCGGCAGGGTTCGACGGCGAGTTGCCTCTCCTCGAAGCGGGCAAGGGCGGTGCCTCTGTCCATGTGCGGGTGCATCCTGCAGCGACTCACGTGCCAGACCCGTGGGTCTGGGTGGCAGTGCTGGCGGTCGTGGACGAAGGGAAAACTGCATGAACATCAACTTCCAGAGCTCCGCGCATTTTTCTTGGATCGGCGCTGCGCCCCCTTGGCGCGCATCTGGCGCCGCCCCTGGCGCTTCGCGCGCCAGGGAGGGCGGTCCAGCGCAGATCCAAGAAATCCGCGCGGACCTCCGAAAGTTTACGTTTATGCAGCTTGTTCTTCCTATAGGTCGGCGGACACCACCAGCCGGATCGTCAGCCCGAGTGGTTCCCGTCGTTTCTGATCCGCTCCCGCCCCAAGGGCGCGAAGCAGGATCTCGAGCGGAACGGCAGCCTGGTCAGCATCTGAGGATTGGACGCTGAGCGGCGCTGTCGAAGCAGACGTGATCACAGAGCAGGGGGGAGAGAGACGGAGGAGGAGGAGGAGGAGGAGGAGGAGGAGGGAGGAGGAGGAGGAGGAGGAGGAGAGGAGGAGGAGGAGGAGGAGAGGAGGACGAGGACGAGGAGGAGGAGGAGGAGAGGAGGAGAGGAGGAGGAAGGAGGAGAGGAGGAGGAGGAGGAGGAGGAGGAGGAGGAGGCGGAGGAGGAGGAGCAGGCGGAGGCGGAGGCGGAGGCGGAGGGGGAGGCGGAGGCGGAGGGGGAGGCGGAGGCGGACGCGGAGGCGGAGAGGAGGAGGAGGAGGAGAGCAGGAGGAGGAGCAGGAGGAGAGCAGGAGGAGGAGAGGAGGAGGAGGAGGAGGAGGAGGAGGAGGGAGGAGGAGGAGAGCAGGTGGAGAGGAGGAGGAGGGAGGAGGAGGAGGAGGAGGAGGAGGAGGAGGAGGAGGATGAGGAGGAGGAGGAGGAGGAGGAGGAGGAGGAGGAGGAGGAGGAGGAGAGGAGGATGCGAGGAGGAGGAGGAGGAGGAGGAGGCGGAGGAGGAGGTGGAGCGGAGCGGAGGCGGTAGCAGAGGTGGATGAGGAGGAGGCGGAGGAGGAGGAGGAGGAGGAGGAGGAGAGAGGAGGAGGAGAGAGAGGAGGAGGAGGAGGCGGAGGAGAGCAGAAGGAGGAGGAGGAGGAGGAAGAGGAAGGAGGAGAAGGAGGAGGAGGAGGAGGAGGAGGAGGAGGAGGAGGAGGAGGAGGAGGAGGAGGAGGAGGAGGAGGAGGAGAGGGAGGAGGAGGAGGAGGAGGAGGAGGAGGGAGGAGGAGGAGGGAGGAGGAGGAGGAGGAGGAGGAGGAGGAGGAGGGGCTGTGGCCCTGCTACAGGAGCGGCCCCAGTGGCGAGCACCAGCCTGTGCCCGGGGAGCGCCCAGCGAATTCGCGCCGTGGCGGCGGCCCGCAAGTGGCCGTGCCACCCCGGAGCTACCCGCTGAAGCCGGGGAGACCCGCGGGACAGTCGCGATGGGTTTCAGTGCGACCTCTAAGGATTGGGCGACGAGATCTGCAAGTGTCCACAGGTGCTGTTCAGGCCCATCCTGGGCCTGGGAGCGGTGTAGAATTAGGCCTCCGTGGCCAGCGGCGGTGGATATGTGCAGATCTCATCGCCTTCTACAGGGCGGCACGGCTGTCCTGCGAAGACAGAGGAATTTGGAGGACGTCCCCCCGGGCCTCCGTCCTGGCCCCCCCCTTGCGTTCGTCGTGGTGCCCTGGGCCTCCCACATGGGGTCAGAGTGCGTAGATGGGGTCGGAGGTTCGCGCCGCATCGCCGATGTATCGGCGATGCGGCTCGATGTGGAACCCGATGTTCTTCGCGCCGACGTCGCTGATGCATTGCCCGACGTTGCCGGTGCATCGCCGATGTATCGCTGATGCATCGGTGACGCATTGACGATGCGGCGCGATCCTCTGACCCCATCTGCTCGGACCCCATGTGGGAGGCTTCCAGCGGCGAAGGCGGAGGAGGTTGGTGGACGCCCCCCCTGGGAATCCGGCCTGGCCCCCCCCCTCGTGTTTTCGTCGCGGCTTGTACTCTCAGTATCACCCAGGTGTATTTACACGAGATGTGCATCGGCCAAGCAAGGGCGCCGCGAGCGCAAAGAAATCTTCTAGTGTGGGGTGTCGCTCGCTTCTGGCTATACCGCTCGGGGAAAGGTATACATCATTTCTATTCTACGTTCGGATCGGACGTGTGGCCCCCCCCTCCCCCCTGGTGCCTCCACTCTGGCCTCCCTCGAAGGAGCCCTTTCTGTTCGTCGTCGCTCGTTCGTTCGTTCCTCGTCGCCCCCCGGCCTCTACCCCTGTCGCATGATGGCCCCGGAGGAACACCAGGGATGGCCCCAAGAACTCCCTCGTGCAAAAGTCAGGGCATGCGTGCCACGCGTTTCATCCTTAGGCCCACGAAGGCCTCCGGCTACCTTTTAGAGACCAGAGACCCTGCCCTGCCATGCCGTGCCCTTCCTCCGGCCTCCCTCTCACTCTCCCTCCCCCTTTCTCTCCTTTCTCTCGCCTTTTTCTCTCGTCCCCCTTCCCTTCCCCCCTCCCTTTCCCCGTCCCGTCCAGCCCCGTCAGGTCAGAGATGAGCGAACTGTTCGCGCATCGCGGGCCCGGGCCGGAGAGTTGCACGCGCCTCCCAGGGGAGGCGGCGCAAGGGCACGAAGATACGATGGCGCTTCACGCCTCGCACGGCGCGAAGTGCGGCATGCTGTGTCCCTGAGGGGGAACGGTCGAGAAGCAGCAGCAGCAAGAAGTGGATGAGGACGAAGAGGAGAAGCAGGATGACCAGGAAAACTGGCAAGTAGCTGTGGGAGGGAGGGGGTCCGTGCCGCTCGATTGATTGCCAAGGCTCCCCCTTCTGCGCAATCGTGTGCGTGGCGGGAGGGTCGAGCGCAACTGCACAAGAAAGCATTCAGAGCTCTCTTACCTTGCCACGCAAACGTTCAAGAGCTACCTGCAGCGCTCATCTGTCACGAGAGGCCAAGGCAACGGAATACAGCTGGTTGCATTGCCACTCAGTCTTGGCAGCGTCTGGAGACTGTCTTGGCACGGTTCGTTGGGATCCGCGCGCCCCTTTTTGCCCAAATTCACGATGGCAGCTTGTGCACATATAAGCGCCCACCAATGGGATGACTGCCTTGAGATTAGGTCGATGCATGCAGTTGACCCCTGTCAGTCACAGTATGGCCGACCCTTTTTTCCTGCCGCGCAGATGGTTGATATCCAAGTTGCGCTGCCGCGCGTATCCGCTGCCGCGCTTGGTGAGCGGGGGGGGGGGGGGGGACAGGTTGCCAGGAGCGCCCCGCCCGCGGCTGCATCATCGGCACCTTCCCCCCCACAGCAGTGCTTGCGCTCGGGGGCCACCGCTCCTCTTCCCGGGACCTGGGCCTGGCCCGTGGCCGCCCGCTGCCGCCCGTCGCCGCCGTCGCCGCTGGGCCCCGGGGTCGCCCCGGCCGCCTCGTGGCCGCCCGTCGCCGCCCCTCTCCGCCGTCGCCGCTGGGCCCCGACGCCGCCCGGGCCGGCTTGGGGCCGCCCGCCGCCGCCGTCGCCGCGGGGCCCCGGTGGCGGTCCAGCCAGCTCGCGGCCGCGCGTCGCCGCGCGGCCGCGCCCGGCACTCTCATTGCGCTGCTCTACTTTGCTCTGCGTTGCTTTCCGCCGCTCTGCATTGGTTTGCATCTCATCGCGTTGCGTTGCATTTCGTTGCATCGTTTTGCGTTGCTTTGCATTGCTTCGCGTCACATCGCATTGCTTTTCAATACCTTGCATTGCACTGCATCGCATTGCTTTGCATTGCGTTGCATTGCGTTTTCTTGCGTTGCATTGCTTTGAACCGCAGAAGCATTACATTGCATTGCTTTGCATCGCACTACATTGCATTGCATTGCTTTGCATCGCTTTGCATGCCGTTGCATTGCTGTGCTTCGCATCGCGATTGAATTGCCTTGATGTGCATCGCTTTGCAGTACATTGCTTTACATTGCTTTGCGCTGCTTTATGTTGCTTTGCATTGGTTGGTTTGCATTGCTTTGTATTGCTTTGCATTGCTTTGCGTTGCTTTGCGTTGCTTTGAATTAATTTGCATTGCATTGCTGCTCAATGCATGGTATTGCAATGTCACCGCATTTCGCTGCATTGCTTTGCATTGCAACCACACTGCAATAATTGTTTTGCATGTCAATTGCATTGCAGTTTCATTGCGTTGTGCTGCGCTGCCTTGGTTCGCATCACATTGCATTGCGTTGCATTGCTTTGTATTGTTTTGCAGTGTTTGCATTGCGTTGCATTGCTTTGCATTGCTTTTCATGGCTTTGCGCCGCATCGATTGCTTTTCACAGCGCAGATTGCACCACATGGATTGCGCCACCGAGATTGCACCGCATGTATTGCGCGAAATCATTGTGGGTCCATGCGGCGAAGTCCGAGAGCGCAGGGACCTGGAGCAACAGGTGGATGCACGTTGGGCTTGATGCGTCGTGGGGCCTTCCTTCTTGCCCCGCGAGAAACGAGGAACAAAAGCCGGGGGCCCGATGCACATCTGCAGAAGGCACTTCTACATTGCCACAGTGTTTTGCCACGGCCATCTTGCAGCTTACGATGGCGTATCGGTGTATAGTGCGTTGGCCCTCCTGTCCTCGGCCAGGAGGGTGCATGCACCGTGCGAGGGCCTGAGATGGCCCCGACCAGGCATGGTGGTGGTGCATCAGCGCAGAGTGCGCTTTTGCGAGCGGCATCCGCACACACACAAGCAGATGCACATACACGCACACGCACGCGCACACGCTCTGGCGCATCCGCACAGTCACACACACACACACACACATTCAAAAACACACAAACACACAGACACACAAATACACACAAGCACGCACGCACGCACGCACGCACGCACCCACACACACACGCACGCACACGCACGCACGCACGCACGCACGCACTCACACACACACACACACACACACGCACACTCACGCAGACACACATACACACACACACACACACACGCGCACACACACACACACGCACGCACACACTTTTCCGTCGGCGGCTAGGCAGAGTGACTGCTCTGGCGATGTAGCATTAGTGGGACACACAAAACGCGAATTAAGCCGCGGTGCATGGGGGAAGAGAGGAGGAGCCCGGCGCGGGCCTGAGGGAGAAGGAGGCCGAAACGCACGCACACACACGCACATACACACACACACACACGCACACACGCACGCACGCGCACACACACACACACAACATTCGCGCGCGCACACACACACACACACGTTTTTTCCTTCAACAAGCAGCTGAGTCCAAACTGCAGAACGACCCAGCGGGCGACGTGTGCATCGAATTGTCCGTCTGAGGAATGCGGGAAGAGGAACACAGCACGTAAACGGGACGGTGCAGGAGGAGGACGGTGGAGGCGGAGGAGTACCCACGCACACACATACACA